GAATTCAAGTTCTAGGGCAAAGGACAGAACCACACATTGGTTAAGAACTAGATAATTGAAGGTTAAAAATGATCTGCTCCTAGTGTAACTTTAGGCAAGTTATTTAACCTTAGAAGGCTCACCATCCTTAGATACAATGAAACAAGAATAAAAATTATATCTACCTTTTTAGTAATGAATGAGATCCATTAATTCTTCCAATGATTACGCATTCACTGTTTGACTATATATGTGACAGACATTGTTTTAGGCACAGGGGGGTACAAATTATAAATCAGATGAGATTGCACAAGCCTGTAATCTTAGCACTCTGGGAGGTTGAGGCAGAAGGGTCCCAAGTTTGAGCTCACCCTGGGCAACTTAGTGAGACCCTGACTCAAAATCAAAAAAAAGAAGACTGAAAGTGTAGCTCAGTGTGAAAGCCCTGAGTTCATCCCCCAGGACCACAAACAAAAAATAAATGAGGCAGATAAGACTCCTGACTTCAGGTTGTTTCCATTCCAACAGGAAAAACAAACAAATGAATGCATAACACAGAATTAAGTAGTAAGAGTCTAGGAAGAAAGATAAAGAATGGAATCTTTTTTTGTTTGGTTTGGTTTTGGTTTTCTTCCAGTATGGGGAATCGAACTCACGACCTTGAGCTTGCTAGGCAGGCTCTGTGCCGCTGAGCTAAATCCCCAGCCCCCAAGAATGGAATCTTAAATATGGAGGGCTTGGCACTGTGACAGCTTTCTGACGGTACCTAGTACTTAGTTCAACATTTTCCTGTCTGAGGGAGACATGGGCACTAAGCCCCTGAGTCTTCCCTGGTCTCCCCTGGATAATCAGACTGGATTCACACAGTGCAGGAAATCCTCACAGGGTGACACATAAATGGGAAGAGTTGTTGCTTTATTTGACATATTGAGTGCCAACCTGTGTGGCTCTGGAGACAGCAAACCAAATAACACCAGTTCCCACCACAGAGTGCCTGGGCTAGTAGGGTAAGATGAACAGATATCCCAGCAGGGCTGAACATGAGGCTGACCACGAGGATCTCTGAGACTATTACTCACTGCATACTATTCCTCCCCCTCTTTTTCGCTTTGTGGCCCAGCCCACCCCAACATCCATCTGTCTCACACAGCAGATGTGCTAATCAGGTCATCAGCTGCCATCAACTGGGTGGAGATGCTTACAGGCAGGATATCTGATTGTGACACTCTCCCCGCCAACTTCTGTCTCAGGACCTGGTCTACATTCCTCCTCCTTGTCCACCACTGACTCTAAGAGAGGATCTGTTGTCACAGGAAGTAGGGATGCCCCATCCCTAAGCACCTGTAAGGGATGCTTACAGGTGGCTACCAGTCAAACCTCTACCTTTCGCAGTGTCTTGGGGAGAGACTTTCTTCGAACCTTGGACAGGATTGAAAAATTGAAGCAAGGCTATTTAAAGCTGGAAAAGGCCCTGAGTGGTTGTCTCATCCCGCTTACCCATGTTACAGAGAAGGAAGAGGCCCCACAAAGTGAACTGAGGTTCTAAATGGGATAAAAATAATTTGTGGCAAAGTTAGGGTCAGAACAGAGATAGAGGAAGCTAGGAGACAATAGTCATTTGTAATATCAATACGTTTTCATAATTTTATCCACAATAGAGCCTTTCTCCCTTCACTTCACTTAGAACTAAAGATTTCAAATCCTAAGAACTTTTCAATATTTTTTATCTTCTATGATTGTCATCCTTTTACTCTAAATTGTCCTTTTGTACGGATTGGCATAGGCCCGTCAGCAGGGATGGGGAAACTGTGTAATCTGTTACATACTGAATGTGTGAGGGACTATCTGGGGCAGTTTTATGAGACGCAGACTGGGTGGGGAAATCATGAAGTTTACCTGGGGTCACAGAGTCAGAAAATGCATCTGTCAGAGTCAAAGCTCTGTGCCTTTAGCGCAGTCCTAGCCATCGCTCCCCCCACATCAGCCAGGAAATTCAGATCAATTCTCTCATTGCTCAAATAAGGGAATATCACATGTAAAGCGTTAACACAGAGCCCAGCAACTAGTAGGTCCTCAGCAAGTAGAAGACGGTTCTCTCTGTCTTTTCCTTCTGGTTTCAATAATAAATAAATTCTGAGTTACTTTTTCTCATGAGTATTCAACACCATTGGCTATACACTTGTGTACAATACATGTACAATATGTGTATAAGACGAGAGAATGTAGACACATGTGGCTATATGATTTGGATTGATTATGGGGAAACATGAAGTGTGTCTGTAGATACTAACCTTACTTGCCAGGAATTTTTGCAAAGGTATTTTTCTGAAAGAGAAAACATCATAAAAATTATCCTATCCTGGGAAGGGAGTTAATATTCTCAACAGAATTTTCTACTGCAGGAAAAGTGCAGGAAAGCAGGCTTGGGCTGGATCCCAGAGAGCAGCACTTCAGCCTGCTCCTCCCAGCTTCCCAGGGCTTTGGCTCAAAGTTCTGGACTTGTCATTTGCTCATGTAAAGTCTCCAGCATATATTGTAGATGAGACATCTGGATTATTTTACGTAAGAAATGGTGCGTCAAGATTTTTAAAGTTTTTTTAAAGGCTAAAACAGAACTTTTCATTAACCTTAAAATGTCCTGAAACTGAACATTATGAGGCCTAACCTTCTCCTTAAACTAATCAGGGAACAGAAATAAGACAGGCTTCAATCCTAAAATCGCTACCTACTAATTTGCACAGGGAAGTTTATGTGAAGCATTCTAGAAGGCAAGTTCACTAGCTTGGTCTGTTTCTTCATGTTCTTACAGATCTCTCTTTTAGGAAAAACAAAGAGTGAAAGAGAGAGCTAAAAGACACTAGGAAAGCATAAACACAGACCAAAGAAATAAACTGGAAGTCACATTCCTAATGTGTAAGTTTTGGAAATAAGAGTTAGCATCATTCAGTGTGAAAATCTTTCTAACAGAAGGCATAGGTCTTCTAGTGCTGGACTTCAATGTACCTCACTCATAATGTGGCTCAAGCAGTCATTTTATAGATATACCAACTAGACCCAAAGATGGGGCTATACACGCAGGGATAGAAGAGAACCAGGTGAACTAATGCTATTGAGCAATTGCTTTAGATTATCCTTTATATGTGCTTGTATGATTAGGTAAAATGTAGAAAACACTAACAAGGAAGACAGAAAGTCTCAAACTGTCTACATAACCAAAACCTGACCCTCCTTGGTAGGGAAGACAGGTAAAGGAGCAAGGTAGAAAGTGATAAAAGAAACCAGGATACAGCTTGATGTGGTGCATATGTATGCAGCCCCCACACTCTGTGATGCTGAGGCAGGAAGATTGCAAATGTCAGCTCCGTGTCAGCAAGTTAGCAACTTATTGAGACCCTGTTTTAAATCAAAATAAAAAATAAAGGGCTGGGGATGTAGCTCTGTGTAAAAGCCCAGGGTTCAATCCCTAGTACTGAGAAGAAGGATGAAGGAGAAGGAGCAAGAGGAGGTTGGTTGGAGGACAAGGAGGAGGGGGAAGGAAAAGAAAAAGAGCTGGGGAGGGAAGGGGGGATGAGAGGGTGGGGAAACGGGGAGAAGGAAAAGCTACCACAATGTCTATGTTAGAGAGCACTTCGAGGAGCTCAGTGAGGGTTTACTAAATAACTAATAATAATGTGGAATGTGGAAGAATGAAGTGGCTAGAAAATGGAATTTTTATAAGTATGTTATGAGTTTTGAAGGAGATGGCCTGCATATTTTATGATCTATGAGTGCTAGGCTGGATGTCCTGGATGCCATTCTCTGCAGAGACTAAGCCATATAGGGCTTCAGGAATTATTTAGCTCTGCCAAGTTTCCATCCTTCAAGAGTAATATGGAGTTGGAAGTGGACTAGTGACTTAATTTTCACCTATAAACTTCTGTATTAATAATATTTTAATATAATTTATGAAATTTATAAAATTTTTATATAATCAATATAGAAAGCAGAATAAGTAGCATTCATTTTTTCCTACCCTGTAGGTACCACTTAATGGTGCAAGAGGAACAGAATTTTCCAGGAAGTGCTGTTCCTCTCCTAAAGGAATATCCTGCAACTAGGTTGACAGCCCAGGGCATTTGGATGGAGGGGTGTAGGATGATGTGAGAAGGTACAGTTCTTTAGATATTCAAAGGCAGCCAAGCACTCAAAATAACTTTCTGTAGTATCTTAGGGTAAATCAGAGATTTTCTTAGAAACACAATATTCCATATGCTCATTCATCCATTCCTTCATGCATTCCCCCAAACACAGCATCTGCTATGCAGCAGGTCTTGTGGGGCTGGTTTAAATAGCAATTCTCTCTCTGCCTTTTTTCTTACTGTGTGCATTTTGGAGCCTCTAGTCACCCAGAAAGCCCCCAGAGCTAGGCAAGTGATGGAGAAAGAGGTGCTAACAATGATGGGCAACTGGCCTTGGGGAGTTCCGGGATCTCTCCCACATGGGGCTCCTGGTTCCACAGGTCGCATTCTTCACTTACTGCCATGCTGACCTGAGTAGTATCTACCCATTTCAAGGGAGTTCTAGCCTCTTCTTTAGGTTAATATTTTATGGGGTAAACTTATTAGATGTGAAAATGCAATCCATAAAGTCCACCACAGGTTCAGGCCTCCTGCATAGCAGTAGAACTATCATCCAGTGGTGCTCCTGAGATTTGATTTTAACATCTCTTCTGCATCCAGCAAGATAGACTCAGAGGTTACACTAACCAACCATGATGCCAGGAGGGCCTCGTTGTAGCCTAACCTTCTCCTTAAACTAATCAGGGAACAGAAATAAGACAGGCTTCAATCCTAAAATCGCTACCTACTAATTTGCACAGGGAAGTTTATGTGAAGCATTCTAGAAGGCAAGTTCACTAGCTTGGTCTGTTTCTTCATGTTCTTACAGATCTCTGTTTTAGGAAAAACAAAGAGTGAAAGAGAGAGCTAAAAGACACTAGGAAAGCATAAACACAGACCAAAGAAATAAACTGGAAGTCACTGTGCTTTACATTCAGAGCTTTATTCTTGCCAAAGTTTGGGATTTGCACTAACTCTGGCAGGATGCCTTGATAAAGAAGCAAAGTGTGCAGGGAAATTGATGAGGTTCTACATTGCTAGAATGACAGGGAAGGGGCTGAAGGCTGGTGAGGTTTCAAAGGGCATAGCCTGGTAGTGAATCCCGGAGCAGGTCTGTCCTTTTGTATTTAACAGCAGCAGTCATCCTCACGGTCACAGCATGCAGGACCTCGGGACCTCATGGGGATAATTCCCAAACAGCAGCACCCCCCTGAGCCACAGCATCCCCCAGAGCCACAGCACCCAGAATTGCTGCACCCAGAGCCGCAGCATCCAGAATCCTCACAGCAGCCGGATGATCCTGTGTTGCAGCCCTGGGGCCGCTGGATCCAACGTCTCAGAGGACTGACCCCGAAGGTCCGGGGAGCGAGACAGCAATAGCTGGTGGAACAGGGAGCAGAGCATGGGTCAGGAACACAGCCCTGGGAGGCTGAGCCACTCGCAGAAGCTTGAGAGTAGTAGGTCTGGCCAGAAGAAGGGTACTGGACATAATATGTCTGGGTCTGGTAGGGAGCTGGACGTTTGACATAGGTCGTCTGGCACGGAGCTGGGCATTGCACGTAAGTTGTCTGGGAGGGTGCTGCGCACTTCACATAGGTCATCTGGCATGGAGGTGGGCACTTCACATATGTCTGGCAGGGGGCTGGGCATTTCACAAAGGTTTTGGTCTGGCAAGGAGCTGGGCCCTTCACATAGGTTTGAGTCTGCCATGGAACTTGGTATTTCACATAGGTTTGAGTTGGAGCTGGAGCTGAAGCTGGGTAATTCATGAAGGCTTGAGCTTGGCCGGAAATAGGGCCTGTCACATAGACAGTTTGAGGCTGGCCAGAGGTAGGCCCTGTCACAAAGGCAGTTTGAGCCTGGCAGAGAGCAGGGCCATTCGCAGGGACAGTCTGGGACTGGCTTGGAGCCTGGCTTTTCACAGAGGCACCACCTGCACCTTGTGCAGCCCCGAGTCCTGAACCTTTCACGCAAGAGGGAAGAAACTGTGGCTGTTTCTGCTGGTCATACATCTTGCTATGGTTTTGCAAAATCTGAAAAGAAAATCTTCATCAGAACTGTGAAAGTGGGCAGGTTTCCAGGGAAACCTGCAGCATCCCCTTAGATAGAATGATCTATCAGCAATGTGGCCATTTAGGAAGTTCATGATCACCCAAAGGTTGTATGCTAGCAGCAGAGTAGACTCAGAGCCAGAGATTCTAGGATCATCTCTTGTACGTTTACCTGGTTATGTGACTTTAGATAGGGTCACTGCTCACTTGTGCAATTCATTTTCCACAATAGAAAATGAAGGCTTCAAAAAACCAGTGTTTACATTTCTACCCAACTCTGCATGTTTCCTCCCTTCTCACTCACTTCAGTATCTGCATTATGAATTACCCTTGTAAAACTCCTATTCTCCAACTTACTTCTCCTGCCACTAAACACAAGAAGCTTCCTCCCTCCTGCACAGCCAGTAATACCCCGGGAAGGCAAATTTACGTTAACTGATCATGAGCCAATATGAACCTCAAAATGAGCTGGACCATGAGCAAAACCAAAGTCAAAGTTGAATACGTTTCCACCACTTCCTCCTTGGAGATGATATCAGGTAGATATCATTTCTCCTCCTTAATAAGGGAACCCAAGAGAGGGCTGCACAAATGCAGGCAGAGAACGAGAGTGAGGAAACCAGTTCTCTGAAATCTCTTCCCAGACAGACTAACCAGCTCAGTACACACTGCTCCCTCTTGTCTTGTGCCCCAGGTGCTGGGCTTTTCTGCCGACTGACCGTCCTCTCCTTCGTGGATGTCCTTGGGGTGTAGTCGTGGCTTGCCCCTTAGCTCAGTTATTCATCCCAACTTCACACAGACTCTGTTTCTTGCCAAATCCCTATCCCAAGTTTGAAGACTTACCTTCTTTCCTGGCAGGAACAAGACTGGAACAGGCTAAAGATTTAAGGAACTGACAGTTGGAGAGACTTTTTATAGGGCAGCAATGAGGCAATTTAATGGCATCTAAATGAAGCATCAACCATCACGAGGATCAGGACTGCTGTTGCATTGGCGAGATTCCTCCCCAGTATGCCTGGCTCTGCAGTCAGAGGCAGGGCATGTCTCTGCTTGATGTGGAGTGTTCCTAAACTTGAGATAAGTGATTTCTGCTATGTTCTACATAAAAATAGTCCATCTTATTTTCCTAGAAGTTATGAATAATGCCTATGCGATGTGTCCTTAATCAAACTGTTTCAAGGCTTCTTGCGTCTTCCAGGTATGGTCAGATTTACCCCAGTGGTCTCTGGCTTAACATGGCATCAAGGCTTCCAAGGAATAACCTGTTCTATGAATCACCAGGTTATTCTAAGATTATTTGGGAACCTTACTGGGTTCTTTTTTTTGTTGTTTTTTTGTTTTGTTTTGTTTTGTTTTTGTTTGTTTGTTTTGTTTTTCTCCGGTACCGGGAACCGAACTCACGACCTTGCGCTTGCCAGGCAGGCGCTTTTGCTGCTGAGCTAAATCCCCAGCCCCCCTTACTGGGTTCTTGATAACTCCAGTCTCCAAGCTCTGTGTCTACACTGTCTCCTCAGCCTTTTCATATTCTCTGATCTCTACCACCTTCACCTTCCTACCCCTCATTCCCAGGAATAAACTCCATAGATCCCAGGGAAAGGAATTCAGCTAAATGAACGCTGTGTGATAACAATCATAGCAGAGTCTAACATTAATCTGAATGTTTTCCATGTGCCAGAAAATTGATGAGGCAGGTACATTTCAGATGGCTGCACCTGAGGCCCTGAAAGACACATATTCATCAACCAAGGCAAGTAAGTAGGGACAACAAAACTTAAGTGTAGCCAATGTGCTTTTATAGAGTTGATCTATACCCCAATGATATGTTGTCCTTCATGTCTGAACATAAGATCAGCCTTGAATCCCTGTCATGTTTCATTTCTCCAAAGCAGTAAATATAGAAGGAGAGGTGGAAATAATATCTACTGAGAATTTACTATGTGCTAAGCATTATTCTAGCTTTTTCCCCTATGTTTAATCTTTGCAATAATCTTGTGAGGTAGGCTACGATCACCCCATTTTAAAAAATGTTTACCTTTTATTAGCACATTTTTGTAGTTCATTTAGTTTACAATCACCTTGGGAGTAGTTACATGTACATGTTACAGCTTGTGTCTTTTTATTTTAATCCCCATCTCCTTCGCTTCCCCTCCCCCTCTCCCACTGGTTCCCCTGTCTCCTTTTTTACACTTGTTGATATTATTTGTCTTAGCTCATGTTGTGGCATATAATGTTTACATTAATTAGGATTATTAGGTTCCTTTACATGACATATCTTTATTTTTCTTATTTTCCCTTCCACTCCTTATTACTCCTTGCCCTTATTCCCTTGGACCACTTCCTTACTGCAAAAGATCCACCCCCTTGTCCCTTTCTATCCATCCTATGTTATCTTTTTTGTTTGTACTTGGCCTCCCTCAAATGAGAGATACCATACGATATTTAAGTTCATGTGTCTGGTTTATTTAACTCAATGTTATATTTTCCAGGTACATCCATTTTCCTACAAATGTCTTAAGTTTGTCGTTCTTTACAGCTGAGGAGTGTTCCATTATATAGAGGTACCACATTGTGTTTATCCGGTCATCTGTTAATGGGTATACAGATTGCTTCCAGAAATTAGCTATTACAAATTGTGCTGCTATAGACATTGTAATGCAAGTATCATGGTAATAAAATGACTTAAGCTCTTTGGGGAAAGTACTTAACATGGGGGATAGCTGGATCCTATGAAATTTCTAATTTCAGTTATTTAAAAAATCTCCATACTGATTTCTATAATGATTGTACTAGTTTACATTCCCACTAGCAATAAAGGTATGTTCCTTTTTCACCACAGCAGTGCCAGCATTTGTTATTGGTTGATTTTCTAATGATTTTCATTCTTTCCAGAGTAAGATTGAATTTTAGGATTATTTTAATTTGCACTCCTCTAATGGCCAAAAATGTTGAATATTTTTTTCATATATCTATTGACCATTTGTATTCCTTCCTCTGTGAAGTGTCTGTTCAATACTCTTGCTCATTTTTTGACTAAGATTTTAAGTTTAGGTGGTTTAACTTTTTTGAGCTCTTTTTATATTCTAGATATTAGTCCGCTGTCTGAAGAGTAGTTGGCAAAACTTTTTTCCCATTCTATAGGTTGTCTCTTCACTCTACTGATGAATTCATTTGCTGTGCAGAATCTTTTCAGTCTGATATAATCCCATGTGTTGATTCTTACTGCTATTTCTTGTGCAATTTAAGTCGTTTAGAAAATCCTTTCCAGGGCTGGGGATTTAGCTCAGCGGCAAAAGCGCCTGCCTGGCAAGCGCAAGGTC